AGTGAGTACAGGTGTGTCAGTGAGTACAGATGTGTCAGTGAGTACAGATGTGTCAGTGAGTACAGATGTGTTTTTAGGAGAGATTTAAAAGCAGAGACTGAGGTGGCCTGTCGAATGTTGATGGGCAGATTGTTGCAGAGTTTAGGACCCACGACTGAAAACGCTCGATCTCCTCTGAGCTTCAGCTGGTTTTTGGTCTGATGATCTTAAGGCCCGAGAAGGAGTATAAGGATGAAGAAGGTCAGAGAGGTATGAGGGTGCGAGGCCGTTAATGCACTTAAATGTCAGCAGAAGAATTTTAAAATCAACTCTGACATGTACAGGAAGCCAGTGAAGGGAGGACAGAACCGGAGTAATGTGCTCAAACCTGTGAGTTCCTGTTAGTAGCCGAGCTGCAGCATTTTATACGAGCTTGAGACGTGAGAGAGAGACCTGACTGACCCCAGCATGAAGTGAGTTACAGTAGTCCAGCCGGGTTGTAATAAATGCATGGACCAATTTTTCAAGGTCGGATCTGGACAGGATGGACTTGAGCTTAGCTATCTGCCTTAGCTGAAAGAAGCTTTTTTGAAGAACAGAATTTATCTGCTTATTAAACTTAAAGTCCAAGTCTAAAACTATCCTGAGATCGGTAACAGACGGTTTTAGATGAGGCTGAAGGGAGTGCAGGTTTGCAGGATCAGTGACAGTGGTAGAGCTTGGGTTAAACACAATGACTTCAGTCTTCTGATCATTAAAACTCAAGAAGTTTGCAGCCATCCAAGTCTTGATGTCATCAAGACATTTTAACAAAAGGCAAATGGAGGAGGAACTGTTAGGTGTTAACGGCAGATAAATCTGAGAGTCATCAGCATAACAATGAAAGGAAAGACCATGTTTCCTCAGGATCAATCAACCTTTATTTCTACAGGTAAATCCCATTGAGCCTCGAGGACTCATTTACAAGAGAGACCTGATGTTTCCTCAGGATAGACCTGTAGTGATGTCAGGACAGCTTTGCTGGGAACACACGACTAATTAATTATTCTTAAAGCTAGTTCAAGCACAAAGAATATTAACTGTTTAATTACAACGGATTCTTTTCTTTTTCCGAGTTAAATTTCTGCCATGTGACCGAGATAACTGTGAGGAGTGTTTAATCAGTGACATGAGACGCCATTTTATCTTTGACCCATCAGAATAAATGTGGTCGTTTATTTAACAGAATCAAAATTTAACATCAAAACATGTACACATTGATTTGCTGATCTGTTTCTGATTAATAAACTTGGCACGCTTTACTAACAAGACAACAGAACATTACTGATCGAGGCTGATTCACCTCTGAAGGCATCTGGATTACTGGCAAATAGAAAAGTTAAGAGAGGACATAGATTTAAAGAGGTTTAGATGGAAGCTATGTGTGAAACCAGAACATTGCACCCTTCCTCCGACATCCCGCTCAGCTTCCCGGTACACTTCAGGACGTGCAGCGACTTTGTTACCTTAGATGGGAGATACCTCCACTCCGGAACAGAAGTCCATTAGTACGATCCCTTTACAGCGTCTCCGGTTAAAGTAGCTGGGAATCTTTAGAATAAATGCATATACTCAGTTACTGCTCGGGTTGAGTGCATAGCGATGCGAGCCGTGACTCCGCTAAATGGAGGGACCCTTCGGCACATGGTCCCATCCATCCGCTCCAAGTTCTGAAGACTTAGCCCTAAGACTTAAGACTCCGACAGAGTTCCAGCACTGAACTCCAGGACCAAACTTCAGGATCGAACTGAGTTCCAGGACCGAACTCCAGGATTGAACTGAATAGTTCCACAAAGTGTTCCTTTTAAAGGGGTATACACTTCCTGTTACTTGGTACTTCCTGATTGGTTGAAACAACCAGCAGGGGGGTGGTTCTAGTGATGTCAAGAGGGTCACTAGAAGTCAAGAGACAGCAGGAATGTTTACGAACGGTTAGTACAGACAGAAATGTTATGATGAAGTGAGACAAACGCAGGTGCCAGTTGAAGTTATTTACTGTCTGCTAGGTTTAAAAACAAGACACTTCGTTCTAATAACTCGTCTCTGTTTGTCTCTGACTTTCGACCGACATCACTAAATGCACACTTACTTCATAAATAGACATTTAACTGTATGATCAAAAATCAGCTGAGGTTTAAAAATCATTAATACTGTTTCACAGTTGATTTAAATGAGTGGTTCACTTCAACATTTAGAAATGATATGAACTAAACACACATTTGATTATCAAGATATTCTAAAATAGTAATGATAATGTAAAAAGGAAGAGTGTTCTTTCAATTGATTAATTCAGGATACAATTAAATATTCTCTTGATGAGATAATTTGTATTTCTGGATTCAAATCAATGAAATAACAGTTCCTGTCCCCTGAAGGTCTTCAGAGACAGGTTGAGGTCGGAGGCCTAGTTCACTACAGACCCTAAGGGAAGGAAATACAAAGAAAACAGAAGGAGTCCAAGAATGGAGCCTTGCGGGACCCCGCAGGAAAGAGGCACTGAAGTAGATAGAGTGTTAGCAAAATTAACACAGAAACTCCTGTCGCTCAGGTATGAATGGAACCATTCTAACGCTGCACCAGTAATCCCAACCCAGTGGTCTAGCCAGGATAAAAGGATACTGTGGTCCACAGTATCAAATGCAGCGGTAAGGTCAAGGAGTACCAGGACTACAGACTACAGACCAGAGTCATTTGCCAGAAGAATGTCGTTGCAGACCCTAACTAAGGCTGTTTCGGTGCTGTGTAATTTCTTAAAGCCAGACTGAAAGATCTCAAGAATAGAATTTCTACTCAAGAACTCGTTTAATTGAGTGAAAACTATTTTCTCCAGGATCTTAGAAAGAAAGGGAAGTTTGGAGATGGGTCTGAAGTTTGAGCAGGTTGAAGGGTCAAGTCCGGGTTGTTTTTATTAAAGGAGTTACCACTGCATGTTTAAAAGCATCAGGAACCACACCTGTAGCCATACTGCTGTTTATAATGTCAAGAACAGACGGTCCAATGGAGGTAGGACTGGTTTAAAAAAACCATGCAGGGATGGGGTCAGCAGGGGAACCTGAGGGTTTCATATGACCAATGATGTCATTTAGAAATGAGAGGGAAATGGGTTCAAACTGGTTAAAGACTGATGTGGAGGGGACAAAGACAGAGGGGTCAGCTGTGGTGTGAGGAATCAGTGACCTGATCGACTACCAGAATGTTTTAGAGGACTTCATGAGTCCTTCTGCTGAGGATCTGTATGGAGATGCAGAGTTCATCTTCCAGCAGGACCTGGTCCCTGCCCAAGCTGCCAGAAGCACCAGAACCTGGTTTGATGCCACAGTGCTTGACTGGCCAACCAACTGGTCGGACCTAAACCCCACTGAGAATCTATGGGGTCTCTCAAGAGGAACATGAGGAGCACCAGAGCAACAACAAAGAAGATCTGACAGCATCAAGGAAATCTGGGCTTCCATAACTCCCAGTCAGTGCCACAGGCTGATTGTCTCAATTCCAT